TAGAAGGTGTCGTGGAGGTTGCCAACAGCCTTGTCCAGGACCAGCTTGATCCATTCTGTAGGATTTCGCCCAGGAAAAACCAGGAATTCGGAAAAGTGGCTTTTTGTCAGTTCTCGATCTCCCAGTACCGGTTATGACTAATGACCCGGTGGTTTCCCCTGAATAAGGGGGTGGTGGTACCTGGATTGTTTGAGAGGGGTCGTTGAATTAGTTTTTAATACAGCGTGTTTTTGTTCAAATATCTCATAGCTATTTTTGTATGAGTCAGTTAGACATTTGTATTATTTGCGTTTTATTTATTTTTATATATATAAACACATACATGATGTTTACATATTGTTACCAGGAACTTCCAATCCCGTACAGAATGTCACAACATACCTGTACTGCTTACCCCAAAATCTATGTGGGGAGGGTGGAAATCGTCCCACCGCAGCCAAAGAGGATTCATGTTTGGAATGGCATCATTCTACAACAGAGCATGAGATTGTGATGATTGAGCAGAGTCTCTCGCGATCCCAAGCACTCTCTTTCTACAAGCAACACTGCATGGCAAGCAAGGATGCGAATTTCACCGTCAATGGGGCTTTGGCATGTTACATGCCGGGAGCAACACAACGCAAGGAGTTGTCGTCATGTGTTTGTCTAGGATAAATCGTATCCTCCTCATGTTTGGAAAGTTTTGAATAGCCTTGAAGATTTTCCTGCAGATGACCAGTCATATTTACCTTCCCAACCCCTATGAAGCACATTCTGAGGTTTACTCTGAGGTTTACACAGGATTTCTGTCAGAACCTGCAACAGTTAACATGGACACATGCAAACGTATGAAGAAGCATGGACACATGTAAATGTATGAAGAGGATGTTGCTTCTTCGAAGATGGTATGGAAAGACTCGTGACAATGAAGAAAGTTTGGGCCAGGAAAAATTTGAGGAAATTTCCCAAATGCGTTAAGCTTTCCTCATAGCTGCATTGTACCATCAATCAGATGTAGGTAGCCTCATTTTAAATGTTCTAGGCAGGTGCGAAGCGGATGTTCTCCTATAAAATTTATGGTCTACGATACTGATTCATGCAACACTTGAGATTTTCTGATCGTAATAATCAGATTGTCAGAGTGTGTTTCCATATGTTAGATAACCTCCTCCACTCAATATGGTAGATTGAATTTGAGCTTAATGATAGTTTACTAAACCAAAGTTGAGGGTCCTCTCAAATAAAGATTGGTTTAACATCTCTGCATCTGAGCAGCAAGTGTGCTGCTTTTCGCTGCAAGTCAGATGTCAAGCTTTGCATCAACAATAATTTTCTGCGACAGAGCAATTATTCATTTGAATTCAGGAATATATATGTCAAAATCAAGCCTGCATGCTTTTCTTGCTGGAATTCTATCTGAAAGTCTCTTGAGAAGCTAGTCATCTCTGCAGAGTATCTGTGAACTCTCCAGCGCGCAGTGTTGTAACAAGGGAAGTGAAACAGGGAGATTATCCGTTTGAATGTTCTCACAACGATCATTGGGCTGCATGGCTTCCAGATATCTGCGATACCTTCTGTGTCATTGTCTCTCTCAACTGCTTCTCATCCAATGGTCCACATCAGCAAAGGACAAGGAGGCAGCAAAATAAAATATTTTGGAGGAAAACTCTCATTGAAAAACTCAAAGCACACATGTAAGCTTCCGAATCACACATCCGTCGCAAGCCTTCCAGCACACATGCATGTTGGGCTTCTGATTCACCTGTGTCATTGTCTCTCTCAACTGCTTCTCATCCATGGTCCACTGCAGATGGTTTGCATCATGCCAGCGGTAAAGGACAAGGAGGCAGCAAAATAAAATATTTTTCATTTTGTACTGTTATATCGACAAATAAAAATTATTCTAGTGAACATTTCAAATCAATTTCGTAAGGTCTCAAATTACCAGGTACAAATAACTGAAATCCCTAAACCACCCCTCGATTCCCAGGGACTACCCTACAAGATAGCGTATATGCCTACCTGCCCAAAATCCTACAGAATGATCGGCTCGCTCGTCCCCGCCTCGTTCAAAGAAGCTGCATCTTCGATGACTGCTGACAGCTCGCTGACAAGCTGCATGTCCTCTTGGCTTGACGGAGATGCTGCCTCCATTGTGATCCTCTCCAGGTCTGTAAACTCCAGCCACTCTCCCTCGCTCTCCTCCTGTCGCTGCGCTGCGTCGCTGGTGCCCCGCTGACCAGCCGCCTCAGGCTCCTTGTCGAAGCCGACTGCTTCGAGCTTGGTTGCTGCGCCTTCTAGAGAGAAGGGCAGCTGCTTCATCATGCATCGAGCATCCTCCGTGGAGCCGAGGAGGATGCATAGCTTGGACCCGTTCCAGGACTTGGTGTTCAAATCCTCCTCCATGTCGATGCCTTCAACTTTGATCTCGAGCCTGTTAGCGATCTCCAACAAGACTCTCTTGACTCTTGCGATGGACGTGTTGCCGCCGTTGCACAGCCCCTCCATCTCCTTCCTCGTGAAGCGACCAGATGCCGCCGTCGACTTGATGATGATCTTGATCTCCTTGCCGTCCTTGCCGCCTGCCTTCTTCTGCATCCTTGATGCCTTCTTCAACTTATTTCTGGACACAAAGCGATCAGCTGTCAACTCGACTGCGAGCGCCTCTCTGATCTTCGGGTCCTCGCTGAACAGAGTCAGGTGTACTCCCTCCATCGCTTCGCTCTCTCGGAAAGCTCGAAATGCTGTATCATTCGCCTCTGGGCAGCTCGAGGAGACGATCCACTCCACCTCCCTCTGTCTCCAGATGACGTTGGCCCCTACAGCGACGAAGCCTTTCTGACCTAACTTAAGCCTTTGTGGACTTGCTGTCCTCAGGCTGGCGCCCCAGCGACCAGCATGCCGGCCAGCGGCTGGAGTTGGACCGCTGCAAGGGACTGGCGCAGCAGCTGATAGCGATAGACGGCAGCTATCTCAGCCGTTGTCATGCCGCCCAAGGTTAACAGGTGGGTCAGCTCTGCCAAGCTGCCCCCTTTGCCCCAGGGTCCTCTCTTGGCTCGAATCTTGAAAGATCGATCGTGCACGATGCTCACATGTACAGCTGTGAACCGTCTTGCGACCATCGATCGCGAAGTCCTCTCTTCCCTGCCAGAGCTTCTCCGCTTGTGCATTGCGGAGGAAGGAAACAGTCACCGGGATCTCCTCAGCACTCGCTATCTCGGGTCTATACGGAGCCTTCCACATGATTGCTTTACTCTCTTGCACTGAGTCTACGATCAGTCCGATCTCTTCGAATTTCTTCTTCAACTTCTCTTCATGGTTGACATACACCGAGGAGATGCCCAGGAGAGTCATGGAGATGAAGGAAGTCACCTCGTTGCCTGCTGAGGCGGTGTATGTCTCGACCTTCTCCTTCTTGGCTTCTTCAATCTGCTGCATAAACCACTCTCTGGATGCGTCACTCCATCCAGTCATTGCTTCTTGTAGAAGCTCACGTCGTGCCTGCTGACATGTCGAGCGGATGGCTTCTGCGATAGCGTCGGGGGTGCATCCCTCCGGGGACAGCCTTGCAAGCCTGGGCTGTCCTGCTGTTCGGATAACGCTTCGCGAAGCTCTTCACCCTCTCGACGAGATCAGCTTCGAGGACAGAGGCATCCACAAGTCCGCTCTGCGTGTATTGGCATGATCTCCGATACAGCAGGTTGCGAACATTTTCATCATACTGAAGAACCATACTTAGAAAGCTATTTGAAGTATACAAACCTCTCGCTTGCAGCTTCCTTGGCGCCCTGGCGGCTTCCCCTACACCTGGCGAGGAGCCATGCTGCCCGGAAAATAACGGCGCCTGCCGAAAATAACGGCGCCTGCCGAAAATAACGGCGCCTCCTAAACCCTAAACCCTTAGAATGCTAGAATGTTGCTCGGCCTCCTTGTGGGCTTTTGCAATTTGATCCTAGTCTAAAGAGGTGCGCGAGCACTGGGAGTACACGGCCTACAATGCGAACCCTGCTTCTGAGGTCTCTTTCTACTTTCTACTTCTGCTGTCTTCTCTTGGCTTCCTCAGCCTCAGTCAGGAGAGTTGCCTCTCCTCACCTTGAGCCTTCGGTCGCCACCTACTCCTCCTCCCTTCAGCTTCCTCAGCCTCAGTCAGGAGAGTTGCCTCTCCTCACCTTGGCCTTCGGTCGCCACCTACTCCTCCTCCATTCAGCTTCCTCAGCCTCAATCAGGAGAGTTGCCTCTCCTCACCTTGGCCTTCGGTCGCCTCCTACCTTCTCTCCTTACCTTGAGCTCAGCTCAAGCTCGGTACGGGCTCGCCCCGTCTTCTTCCTCGCCCTCGCCTTGCTCTTCCTCAATGTCTTCCTCTTCTTCATCATCTTCCCTCATCTCCACCCGCAGTCGGTCCTTCTTGTCCACCTTCAGCGAGCAGGCCAGCACATGCATCTCTGCGAATTTACTCAGTGCTATGAACAGGAAGCTAAGAGATCGACGCTCGATGTCGTCGCTCTCCGCCTCCTGCTCAAGCTCAGCAGCTGCCGTTGCCCGTGGCGAGAACGCGCTGCCCCTCCTTGCCTTCTTGCTCTCTCCTTGCACGCGAGTCCAGCGCTTGCTCTGCAGCCACTTCCCCAGCTTCTCCTTGAGAACGTTGCGTCCCACTCCCTGCTCCTCTGGCGTCTTCGCCCACTCTCCCAGCGACATGAACTCCAGGCTCCCCGGAGAGTAGAAGGTGTCGTGGAGGTTGCCAACAGCCTTGTCCAGGACCAGCTTGATCGGCTCGCTCGTCCCCGTCTCGTTCAAAGAAGCTGCATCTTCGATGACTGCTGACAGCTCGCTGACGAGCTGCATGTCCTCTTGGCTTGACGGAGATGCTGCCTCCATTGTGATCCTCTCCAGGTCTGTAAATTCAGGCTCCCTCGCTCTCCTCCTGAGCTGCCTCAGGCTCCCTCTAAACCCTAAACCCTAAACCCTAAACCCTAAACCCTAAACCCTAAACCCTAAACCCTAAACTCTAGAAGGAGATGGTAAGGAAAGTGATTGGGGTACCTCACACCAAAATGTTGATGATCACTGAAACATTTTCAAGCGTGGAAGAGGCCTATCTCGACTGAGAAGCAAGACAATTACTCAGAGACATGCACACGCGGCAGGTGAATCAGGAGAACCCATTGCAATATCGCAGCAGGCAAGAGGATGTGAGGAGTGCGGAGTGAGCATTCCAAAAATGTTGAGGTCTTTACTAACTCGAGGGAGACCAGAGCAGCGTGAAAGATCATACCAGTGATGGATGGAATACTCATTCTCCAAACCTGCAATCAAGTAATGAACGTACTCCACTGCGACAGTTGGGTTTTAAACTGAGAAGACCTAATGAAAAAGACACAATTTCGCTCATATCATATTCTAGAAACTCTTTCCAATTGAGATGTTGAATCAAGATAGATAGTATAATGCAGTGAAAATTGAACAGAAACTCAAAAATATCATGCGCGCCATTTCCCGGGAAGGCCAGTACCCCCCCCCCCCCCAGCAATGGCAAGTATTCACCCTATCTTTGATCTATTCAGAATACCCGTAGTAGGACTACCCCCACCCTTCATTTTCAGGCCCCTCTAAGGCAAAACCATCTGAAAACGGCAAAAAGGTGCCGAAGGTTTGTGTCACTTAGCCACTAGGCGCTTGAGTAAAAGGCATCCAGTCAAAAATAAAATCATTGATAGGTAGTCACATTTGTAGTTGCGATGGGAGAATGGTGAACATGTTAGATGGTCTTAGCAGGACAAGAAGCGAGGAACAAAACCACATCAACAAGGCAATAACATCAAACCTTGCAATGAAAGAATCAAAAGAAAGCTCTCTATCCTATTTAAATCAAAACCCAGAGCACTTATAAATCAAAGCAAACCTACAAGACAGATGAATGAAAGCCACAAGCGGGAAGATGCAGATCTCCCCTTCTCGTTTGTTTGTCCCATCACAGGTGAGGTTATGGAAGACCCTGTTTCAACAGCTGATGGCTACTGTTATGAGCGACGAGCAATCGAAGAATGGTTTGTTCACACCCCCCCGGATACACTCAAGCTAACTCAGTTTGCGCAGGTTGAAAAGAAGTAATCTGAGTCCTTCGACGGGCCTTGAGCTTCAAAATCAAAATCTCATTCCCAACCATGCAATAAGAACAAGCATTCTCGAGTGGTTAGAAGGTAAAAAGATATCGCAGATTCAATTCTCGTCGCTTGAGCTCTCAACCTTTCTTGGCGTCCGGCAAGGCAACCAGGTGTACAAAGGCAGCATGAAGACAAATCAAAGCCAACGACAAGTCACCGTCGTCAAATTGCATCCTCTCTGCTGCGTGGAGCAAGTTTCGCTGCTCATGCAGATTAGCAGACATCCCCGCCTAGTCGAAGTGCTTGGCACGAGCTTCAATCAGAACAGCAACTACCTGGTGAATGAATTTTGCTCTGGTAAAACGTTACAGGAAAGCATCAAAACTAAAGCTCTAAGCCTGACACATATGAGGGTCATTCTGCTTCAGATCGTAGCAGGCATGGAAGCTTTACATGGCGGCGGCCTAGTTCATGGGAATCTTTCGCTAGAGAACATTTTATGCTTGCGGTTAGAACAAGAAGACATCTCTTCAACGTCCATCAAACTGTCGGATTTCGGTTTGCTCATGCGGCATCCAGCGCAAGAGTCCAGTGTATCCTCTCTGCTGCCGCCGTCTCCTGATCCGCCCTCGGTTTCCTACCGCCGCAGGTCGCCTGAGAGCATCAGAACTTCAACGTTTACAGCTGAGAGCGACGTCTGGGCCTTCGGGGTCGTCACATGGCAGATCTTGTCAGATGGCATCGAGCCTTATTCTCATTGCTCCAAGGAAGACCAAGTGAAACACGCCATCCTATCGGGAGTCAGACTGTCCAAGCCCAGTAGATGTCCTGCCGACCTCTGGGAATTGATACTTTCATGCTGCCAACAAGTTGCTGCATCAAGACCCAAGTTCAGCAAAATTTCTTTGACTTTCTTGCTTACAAACATTTCTAACGAAGAAAAAATTTCATCTGCTCCTTACCTGCCACAGACAATCTCTCAACTCCAGCATGAACAAAGAGAAAACCAGAAATCTTCCAGCAGCTTACGAAAGAGAAAAGGGAATACAAAGGCTACAGCCCGTCTGTCGAACATCATGGCAGGGAGAGAACAGATCAAGTCTATCACAATCATCAAAAGTGATCGCCGAACAAACATGATCAGTTTGGTGGTCTTGTTTCTCATTTTCCTCATCCTCTCCCATTACTCAGATTACATTCGCAACGCGGTCGACGCGGCTGTCAAGCAGTCAAAATCGAGATACTGCGATGAATTTCTGCCGATGAGGCACAAGGATTTTACACCCGCAGAAAAGGTCAAGTACATGATCAACCTCGTCGCTCAGGACTCAAGCAATCTTCAGCTCGTTGGCTGCTCGTTCAACGAGCTGATTCTCATTGAGCCCTTTCCCCTTGTTTCTCAAAGGTTGCTGCAGTCTAGAGAGTACGAGGTGCTGATCAGCACGATGCGAAGGCACATGGAAAAGGCACAAGTGAGTGAAGTGATGAAGTTCGGAGGAACTGCTAATGCTTTCGTAGATACAAGAAGTTGGGTGTCAACTGATGCGGAAGATGATCAGTAGGATATGAATACGATGATTCACCATGATTCATGTATGACATTTTTTCAGGATCTGATCCATCGGCGAAGAGAAAGCAAGGGGAAGACACTGGAGTTGAAATGGCCTTAGATGCCATCAAGATGCACCTCAACTCTGCGACTGTTCGTCTCTTCCTCTCTATCATGCAAGATGACATCTGGCACAGGTCAGTGATCACTGTCTGGAAACCATCGCGACGCTGGTGACCAGGAACGAGGGAAGCAAGACAAGACTCGTCGCTGGCAGCGGAATCGACCTCCTGGTCAAGCTCATGGAACTGCATGGCGGCAGCGCGGCGGTGCAGTCAAGGTCGTGTTACGTGCTGGGCGTGCTGGCCATGCACGAGTCCGTCATCAAGCGCATCTATAAGATCGGTGGCATCCCCAACATCCTCTCTGCCTTCCAACGATACCGCAAGGATGAGAACGTGGTTGCTAACTGCAGCTTAGCCCTCGCCAATATCGCCTCCTGCTGCGGGACAAGTCAAGACATCCTGCTTGGCGGCGGGTTGGAGAGGCTGCTGGAGGGAATCTCGAGGTTCCCGCTCAATGTCTTGGTCTTCTCGCGAGCTTGCGAGGTGATGGGGAACATGGCGGCCGACCAACGGTTTGAGACTGTCTTCGCGAGAAGCAAGGGGGTCCAGACCATCATCAGGGGCATGCGATTGCTGTTCCACATGCAAGAAGCTCAAATCAGCGGGTGCCGCGCCCTGCTCAACCTCGCGCACAATGACAAGAACAAGTGGGCGATCTTCGAGCATGGCGGCACCGATCTTATCCTCGCGTCCATGCAGCAGCACCCGAGCAACGCTCGAGTGCAGATGTTTGGATGTTGGGCGATACATAAGATGATCTTCAAGAATGAGACCGTAAGGAAGCACGTAGAGGACATCGGGGGAAAGAAAATCATTGCACGGGTCATCAAAGACCTGTCTGACGACTCTTCTCTCCTGGTAATGCATCTTCATTCCAATTGCAACTGATCTACTTCGACAGGCTCTATGCATCCCTGCTCAGCAAACTCTCGCTCAACAGCAATGATCTGCAAACAATCACCTTCCCTTGTTTTCCCTACCCCTCCTTTTGCACCTCCTCATATATCCGTGACTTATCGTCTTCATGTCATTCATAAAGGTTTTACTGCTTACGGTTGAGAAGCGACACGAGTTGAATCGCAGGCGCAAGGAGGAAACCGAGTCCTCCCTTCCACCTTGGCTTGTGCCTCCTCTCCCTGTCCCTCAACGCCTCTTTGCCTCTCTCTTGCCTTGCCGCCAAACAGCTCGACGAGGCTTCAGGTTGACCGCCAGTGAGCGTCATGTTTTGCCTACTCGCCGGGAGATTTTCTTCCTCCTCTTCCGTTTGATTGGATATGCTCTCATAGCTTAGCGCCTCGTCCTCTGCCAATTGGGAGGACGGGGCGGGAGATCGCTGAGTATGATTGGTCACCTTGAGATCCCGACGAGATTCTCCAGCAAGTTTCATCACATTCGGCCGCCTGCTGGAGTCGAGCTGTTGGACTAGATGGGCTGCATCGGGACGAGACAGCTGTAAACATGCATGACTGAGGGGTACCAAGATGATCGCATACCTTTGATCCTCCTGCTCCCCCGCCTCCTGCCTCTTCTCTCAGCTTCTCGCACTGTTGAGCACCAATGAGTCCATCAAACCGGGAAAGACGCAACGCCTCAACCTCTTGCGTGAGCTTCGCCTTGTGCAACTCCAAGCGCAGCAGCTGCCGCTTGAGCTCCTGCAGCTCCGCAACCTCCTGCCGTCGACTCTCAAGCTCCTTGCGCAGGTAGCGCGCACTGCTCGACTCTTCCGCGTCTTCACTCCGAGTCAAGTTGGGGACTCTAGCTGAAGATCGTGCAGGAGAACTAGGGCAGCAGTCGCAAGCTGAATGACGAGGCAGATCCTTCATCGGTAGGTGGAGAGGCAGCGAAAGTTTTCCTCCTTTCCAGTCCGAAAGGAATTTGCCGAGGCCTTGAGAGTCAAGCCCAACAAGCTGATTCATCGTGAGCGGCTCTCCGTCACGCCTACTGCAAGCAGCCCAAATGAAGAAAAGCAGACCAGGAATCTGAGCCAGCTCACGTCACCAACACGAAAAAACCAGCAACTGTGCCTCACCTCACACGATAGAAACCGCAAAGAAATGCCAGAGAAAGTCAGAGTACTCTTAAATCCTGATACGCGTCGTGAGGTCTTGCAAAAAGAGATGAACACTGCTTACTTTCATCCACCGCCATCTGTTTAAGAAAGGACCAAGTACTATACAGACAAGAGAAGGAAGCGTAGACCGTCTTGTAGACATGTCAGATGGGATAGAAGGAGGCAAACGAGACAAACGAACAGGAACGAGAGGAGACTGGAAAGCATAACCGCATTGAGAGAACTTAGCAATCAACCAGCCTGCAAACAGAGCAGAAAGGACTGATTTTGATAACCTTGGTGCAGGTCATACGGCACTCAAGAAAACTGTCGACTCACCGCAACCCCCAGTGACAAGCCATGATAGACATCTCTGCGATTGCTGGAAACTCGCTCATGCTTGGCAACAGAAGCTGCACAACAAACTGACACGTCGTCACAAAACCTCCAGGTAATGAGCAAGAACATGCGTACTTGAGAGTACAACTTCAGTACAGGAATAGCGATGAAGAAATCTACAAGAATTTGGACAGCAACAAGCATCTGAACAGCAAGAATTAGAATCCGATTCAAGCAGGAACATAGGGCAACTGTTGAGGTTGTGAACACACCTGACTAGCAAGAAAACAATCCAACACGATTCCAGAGATTGAGAATCTGTCTACGAGACCATCCTTCCTCTTCATTTCGATGACCACCACGTTATCCAACATGGACCTCCACCTGAAGTTATTGTCTTTCTTGACCATATTTGTTTCTTTGTCCTCGGTCTTCTCGTTTCCACCTCCTCGTATTCGCAGAGTTTCGTCATTCGACCCAAGGGTAATCGTCGGCCAGCTTCGAGTGTCGATTTCTTTTACATCACCGTTGTCTTGGATGTATCTTATCAGCCCCTTTCCTCTTTCTCCATCACCTTGAGAGTCTCTGATGTCTGACATTGCTGTCTCCTCCCATCTTGCTCTCTTTAGCTTCTCGAATCCGTCAATTGCTCCTCCTCCTTCTCCCCAGCCTTCCCGTCTTAGAACGTCTTCCTTCCTTTCCTCTTCCATCTCCACACGTCGCCTCTCTGATGCTACTTCAGTTGGCCAGAAGTCCCGCCTCTCCTCTAACCATCGTCGCAGACCAACCTTTCTAACTATCATGTGCTCCATGGCAGCCGCCAGTTTCCTTTCCTCAGCCCAAACATCTCCAGTCCCCTTTGCTGTCGGTCGTCTCGAGCTTCTCGGGTCAAATCTCGCAGCGCCATGCATGACTTCATGTCTTGATCCTCCTCTTCCTCCTCCTACGAGCGCCTCTGCCGCCCCCACCATCGCCATTGCTGCTGCACACGTTCTCCACCCCATTCCCATGCCCCACCAACATACGTTATTTCCGTTACTGAATGCTAGCAGCTCCGCCGGTCAGTCCGCCGGTGATCACACGCGGGCCTGAGACTCTGAGGCCCGCCCCTGAGGGGGCCAGACACTGACAAGTGCCGGGGGGAGCAGAAAGTTTGGCTTACATTTGGTTCAAATTAATTCGTCCTGAAACATCAACTAGCAAAACTCCAATGACTCCCTCTAGTTCTCCCATCACTCATCGCCTCCGAACTCCCCAAGGTGACGGTCGATATCCTTGACAATGGAGGAGATGACGTTGCTGTCGGGGATGGAATAGGAAAGCTCTCCCATTAGACGACTTCGCACCTCTGAAAGCAAGACTAGCTGTCAGACACCCTTTGTCGATAGATTCAGCAGCAAACCTGAGAAAAGAGCCAGGTGGACATGGTTGGAGGAGTTCTCCGAGGCGGCGATGGACAGCTCAAGTCGTTGAATCTTAGCTTCAAGCGCAGCTCGCTCGCTAGCTCGAGATCTGCAAAAAAGTGAGAAAACAAGACGGAGCTGTAAAACTTTACCTTCTCTCAGCCATCAGCTCTTCTCCAACAGCGGCAGCTCGCTCAGAGCTGCTCCACTCTTCTGTCTGAACAGCAGCATTGGTGTACCTGGAGCGATCAGACCCCTGGTGAGGCGTCGACAAGCTTGCGTCCGGCTGCTGAGCTAGCCTCTGTTCCAGCGCGCCAACAATATCATAGAGTTGTCTACATTGCTCTGTTCGCTTTGAAAGAATCTTTTCAGACTCCTTAAGAGCCTCTTCTTTGATTTCTAGCTCTTTCTTGGTTCGCTCTGCCGTTTCTTGCACAGCCCTCAGCTTTGCGGATGTTTCCACGAGCAACTTCTCTTTCACGTTCGACTTCTGCGATGCTCGCACAAGGGCGTCGGTCAATCTCTCAATCTGCGCTGCCATGCGACCAGGGCTTCCCATCTCGGCGTCCTGGTCTACGTTGGCACTCACGTTGGCGCTATCCGAAGGAGCCTTCATCATGTTCGACACGTATCGGCCTGCTGCATCGCTGATCTCTCCTTCCTCCCCATGGTCCATCACGATCTTGTTCGATCTACCGTTGACGGCATGCCGCCCCAATGGCAGCAACGACTCATTCAAGTTGTTGGAATATTGATACTCTTGAAATTCAGCCACCGACATGTCAAGGTCAGCATCAGGCTGCCTGACAGTGTCCAGCAGCCACCCAGCTCGCAGCGCTTCGGTCACATAAGGAGCGAGGGCTTGCGCCAGCAAACGCTCATCACGCTCGACCAGCACGTTGTCGATGCGGGTGAGATACCCATTCAGCTGCATGATTGTGACCATCAAACGGTATTGCGGGTGAGCAAAAATTGGATTTCCTTCCAACCAAATTTGCTCCAGTCTTGGTTGTTGCTGGAAGCCACGAAAAGAGTACAACACGTTGTTTTCCAGCCTGATCTCCTTGAGTTTGGGTTGTTGAGGCAGATGTTCGAAATTTGTCAACAAGTTATTCTGAAGATACAACTCAACCATGTCCGTCTGCAAAGTCATGCCCTTGAGAGAGGTGAGAGCCTGATTACGGAGAGAAACAGCTCCAAGACCGCAGAGAAGCCTGACAGTCTCTAATGAGCGTTCAGGCCCCACGACTTCCGAGGCTGAGTTCTTTTGAAGCTGAGTCCCGTAGGCAAGACGGAAGTGTCGGAGGAGGCGGTTAGTGTCCTGCAGCATCAGTTTCGTGTCCATGGATATAGAGGGCGGTGAGGAAACAGCGAGAGCTGCCTGGTAGGCCGCCATCCGTTGCTTGGTTGCCTTAGTTTGTTTCACTAATGTACACTGTGTCAAAAAATGCACAGCGAAGGCGGAAGGGTTTAGAGAAAACAAAGTTTCGTAGAGGAAGGACATCACCTGGAATCTTAGTTTTACTCTTCTGCCTGAGTTCAGGGGGGGGGGGAGGCTTGAAGGGCTCTTTGCAGGAGAAGACGAGTTGATCGTCATCTTCGACCTCGTAGAAATGTCTCACTTGGTCTCCACTGGGCAGCCGAAAGACAAGCCGAGCAGCGGCGGGGAGAGAGAGTTTCTGCGCAGCCGTATCAAGAAGAAGCTCCATGTTTTCAGGAAGCAAAAGCTTGTAGCCAGCCTTGTCATAATGCCCGTCATTGGCATAGAGATAGACAGTTTTGCCCTTGCTGGTGTCGGCTAGCTTCAACAATCTCTTAGAGACTGGACCGGAAGTTGGTGTCTTCTTTTCCGCAACATTGCTTCGAGGTGTATGCTTCAGTCTATCCGGAATATTTTCGTGGACGGGAACATAACGATCTGAAACCCCTCTCGCGCTCTTCGGACGTTTATCAAGCAAGTTCGGCTTATCCAGGTCAAGATGCAGATCATCAAACAACTCGTGTTTGTCGTAAACACGGTTTCTCGCACCATCTTCATGCACACTCGGCTGCTCTTGTAACGCTTTCTTTGTTCTCTGCGCTACTTCCGTCTTGAACTTTTCGAACGATATGAAGGACAAGGAATCTGCCATCTCCTTCCTTGGGATTGCCAAACCCTCGATATTCCTTTTAATGATACATCTGTAAGAAAACAAATTCAGATTTGACTTTGATCCTAGCCTGTCCAATTGATAGTTCTGTAACAATTTAGAAAGAAAACTGCTGAAACGTCACATAAACAACAATGCTTGAGATCGTCGGTCAAACTAAACGCTAATCTGTAGTCGCTGTCTCTCCACCATCTTCAAAGCTGCAGAGACATTTCTATCTCTTCTCTATATCATTATGTGATTTCAACCAGTTTGAGAGGTTTGTTACTTGGTCTTGACTTCTGCTATGAAGACATTTTGATCTAGAACTGATACAGTTCAAACCTTGACTCACTGCTTAGACATAAGATTCACCATGTTTCTATCTTTCATCTGATGATCGGCTGGCATCAAAGAAGTCGAAACTTCTAGTTTCTTTCTCTATCTAGCATCCTCTTCCCTCCTCCTGCTTTCTTGCGCCAACATTTTCAGCATCTACTCTACTAAAGCCTGCCATCCTTGCAGTTTGAAGAGTTCCGTTACGAACGCAATTTTGCTCGTTACATAAAAAAAACCGTTTCAAACCGGTACACCGCCAGCGCTGTACGCAATGCCAGGAACCAAGCTCTGGTTGGCGCTGGTAAGATAACAAAACAGAATGGGAGCGAAGAGAACATGTGATAAGTGTGTACATGTAGGATATGACGAGGGCAAACAATGTGTAAAAGTGAAGGCGTGAAAATAGCAGCGACCCAGCGATAGCTCAAACACTCCAAATGATTGGCTGACAAAGTTCGATGCTAAGAAATCATGGAATCATTTTAAGTCACCCATCCTGTCTTACTCCATTTGGACGATAATTCATCATATGTCACGCGTTTGTGTTGCATGATTGTTGTTAACATAATATACGCGATTCAAACTTCGGTTAAACACTTTGTTCCAGTGCAAGAGAGGGAAATCTTAAAACTATGTGCATGCTCTCTGTATCACATGATTTACATACTTGAGTGTACAAATTCATAACGACAATGAACATTCGAATGTACAATATTGATAGCATCTCAAGGCTAATGAGGCAATCTATTGATGTCCAGGAAAGCAACCCTGAGGTGATAACCACTTTCAGTCACAAGATTGGATGTCCTCCAACCTGGCAGTTTCATGGTATTGTACTATTTGTTCCTGGAAGGCCATTGAATGGTGTGTTGTCAGATGTGTTCGGCACTGATCCTGAACTGCTCGCAATGGTGCCAACACCTGTCGTCGCAGTACTCTTCTTATTTCCATTGACTCCTGAAATAGAGCAGTTTGCAACAGACTCTGTTGAAAAAATCAAAAAGGAAGGACAGTCTGTCCCTGAGAGTCTTTGGTTTTGCAAGCAGAAGATCGGCAACGCTTGCGGCACGATGGCTGTACTACACGCGTTACTCAACTGTCAAGAATCGATGGAGATCGAAGGCTGGGCAAAGAGACTCTACGAGAAAACAAAAACAAAAAGTCCTGACGACAGGTGCACGTTATATATTTTACAGTACAATACTAATGTTTTCAATGCTCTCCAGGGCTGATGAGTTGAATGAAGACACTGAGTTGGAAAGTTTGCATCAGAGCGCAGCGGAAGAAGGCCAAACGCAAGTGTCTTTGATCCTTGCTTGCTTTGCATGATGAGTTGTTTGACAGACAACCACAAATGGATGATGTTGACTCTCACTTCCTCTGTATCGTACATAAGGTATGTTTTGCAATCTGAATGATGGTGCTCCATGTCAACAAGGAGTGTAGGACGGCAGCATGTACGAGCTTGATGGACGGAAGCCCTTTCCTATCAACCTTGGAAAATCAAGTCCGTCTTCCCTTTTGCAGGATGCAGTCGGGAGTATCAAGGAGAGAATCTTTGATCGCGAACCAGGGCAGGTGAACTTCTCAATCATGGCTCTGGGACCAGCCCTGCCATTAGATTGAAATAGTAACAAGACTTTCATTTCAATTCAAAGATGAAACATAAGCAATTTGTTTCAAAATTGTCTCTCTTTCATTCACAAGCAAATAGTGATAAAACTTAGGTACCAAGTGGCATCAGGGGGGAGAGGGTGGCAGTGTTGGGGCTGAAGTGCATGGCCTTAGCCGACTGCCATGGCAATCTGGAAAGTTCAGGTTAGAACAGAAACCTCACAACTTACAGTGAAAACTTACTGGCGTCTGTGGGAGTTGACGTTGAATGGAAGACCCATTCCAATGTCAAGCTTGGTGGTTTGCTGCTCAGTCGCCTTGACTTGAAACAACTGCTCAGTCTTCTGGGTCTTGTCACCCTGTGCCTCCACGAACTTGCTCCACATCTATCATAATACATCAGTAATAGCAAGGCTAAACAGCCAATTTGAATGTTTCAGAAAAGTGTTCAAACGCTTTCAGAAAAGTATGTGAATGCTTCAGAAGCGTTTATGATTGCTTAGAAGATAATTTGCAAAAGAGGCAAAGTGAATGGTCGAGGAACGTAAATGGATACTTGAGCAAAGGTGTTGGAATGTTGCAAGAATCGCCTATGTATCAACAAGACAGCCTTTTCAAGTCATGAATGCGATTAAATGATGAACGAGATAACTTGGCAAACGAAATAAAACGATTGCGCTTCGACGTTTGGTCGTCAGATTATAGGATCTATCATGAAGCAGCATTGCATCGATCTATCTAAAACTAACATCCTCGACATTTCTCCCCCTTCTCTCCGCATCTTCTGCTTGTACGCTTTCTGGCATGCAGACGAACCGCGGTCTATTTCGGGAGAATCTGAAATAACGGATACTTGTAACGGTAAAAAATAGATCGAATCGATGGTAACGGTATAACGGTCCGTCCGTTGAAACTGACGCCGGGAGGCGTTGACTCGCAAATCATCCGATCGCAATCACAATGATCAGTGACCGTAGTACAATGATGATGATGGACTCGGAGGCATGCGATGCTGCGGCTGGCAGCGCCGCCGCTAACTGACGATCTGAGCCAGCGCTGGATCAGCCATCCAGGTCGCTGCCGCGGTGGCCGCTGAGCCTCCAACGGTCCACTGTCAACTTGCCAAGGGCAAGTTTGAAAATTTGACTCTCGGCTCGCCGAAGGTTGATCCGAGCGGCGAGTAACATGGGCTCAGAGCTAGCGCAGTGCTGGGATCAGAAAACAGTGGATATGATGACTAGTGAGTCATGAAATGATCAACCCGTTACTGCTCGAAGCCTGACTTGAGCGTCCTTTAGTTTATCACTGCCGAGTTTAAAAGAGTAAGATAGATAGCTTCATGTTGACGGAAGCCTTGTGTAAGGATGCGTTGAGAATAGTTGCTGTAGAGCGAAATCCTTGTGAAAATTTGCTCGCGACTTCAAAGTTGATCGTTCCTTGTTGTTCTGAATTTCTGAACAAAATGGGAACTTTCCACAGGTTTGAAGGTACTTAGGATTGAATATAAATGTCCAAGATTGTTGGAGCAAATGTTGCAAAAATGTGCAGGTTATTCCGAATACCCTTGCGTTCTTTGCAACCACACATGTACTCAATTATGTGTTTGTCTCTGCAGGGAAAATGCGTATTATGCCAAAATGGAAACAGCAAAGAAAGAAACCTTGAATCTGCGTGCGACAGCAAAATGGCACGAAGGGCAAGTGTGTACTAGTCATATGTTTCACTTATTGGCCACGACTGATGCTGATGGCGACAGGCAGTCTCTAGCATGTCCGGAGGCCTGATTAGGAAACAGAGAGAGAGCGACATCAGGGACGAGATCCGGCTGCAATCAGAAGAGCTGAAGGTGCGGAGGAAACAGCAGATGCTCGAGCTCTACAATCGGTAAGTTAGACAGGCCGATCATCTCAAATCTATTCTAACGAAAAGTCGATTAGGGAATCAGAAGCATTCGAGCGCGAACTGAATGAATTGGGACTTGCTCGAGCGATGCCAGAGATTTGAAGCATTTCTTGCGTTTTGAAAGCTTTGAAACAGACTTACAATCATATTGCTAGAGCAAAGCATTTTGCAACACAGTACATGGTTTTCTCCTCCCATCTAATTGCAAATTCTCAGTTTCAAAAACCAGTCCGTTGTAGTCACCTAAAGCTGGCAGATCCATCGTTAGCGCTATCCCAGAAACAGCTGGCTGCTGTGTGCAAACCTGGAGAAAGTAATCAATTCTCCGATCCTACTCAAAGAAATCATATCTCTGACCTGCACCATTTCTTTGAACTATAACACAAGTAACGACATATTTGAAGGGCTTGCTCAGAGCAATCTGAAAATGTATGACAAGCGATGCTAAAGAAAGAGTTAAAGATTTGTCACCAGCCTTTTTGTGCTTTTCTCACAAATGTCATTGATCCACTGGCCAATCTAAACAAGTTGCATCACAGACAGATCTCTAGCAAGCATTCTTGATCACTTTTGAGTGTTCATATGTATGCTGTCCCAGAGTCTCTTCAACGCATTCTTTGAGGATGGTTTTGATTTGATCTTTATCGAAGGCAGTCTGCAAACCAATGTCAAATATTGAAACAACAGAAGAATGATGCCTCGTCATTGAAATCCATTTTTCTTCATGCACTAGGTTATTGTATCGAGAATTTCCAAACTCCACCTGCAAGTACATAATAAGAAGTACTATTGCGTTTTCAAGTGACCAAGTCCGGAACAACAGCAAATGAAACTTTGTTGAGGAAAAAACAGCAAATGAAACTTTGTTCAAATATTTGGCCTATCATTCGTGAGATGATGATTTCAGGTGCTCTGAAATTTGTTCCTCGAGGGTCATAACAGTGATCATCCTCCCTTCTCACTTCATTAAATCATCTTGTCTAACATTGTATTGCATTCATTTCATCAGCTTCTACTCTTCCATGTCTTCTCTCGTCTCTCTTCTTCTGCATCTCGCGTCTCTCTGCATGGTTTCCTGCCACTCCGCCCACTCGGCGGTTAAACCGCATCTCACTGAGTGTCCGGGCCCGGGCCGTGCTTCGGCCCGGCCCCGCCCGGCCCGGCCACACTGTCACTGACAGGCTCCGAGGCTCGGAGTCCGGGTCGGAGCCCGCCGGCCCCCGGCTCAGACGCTCAAAACACTCAGTGGGGCTGAGTGCGGGCGGGCCCGGCCCGGGCCGCGCGCCGCGCCCCGGCGCTGATCGGGAGTCGGACTCCGTGACGGTACTACTGGTGAAAAGTGACCGATCGCTCGCACAGGCCCGGCAACTTACTGAGATGTCTTGTCTCCGACCGGGCTGGCGGCCCGGCTGATCCGAGTTGTGAACGCATCCGGTCCAGGATCTTTTGAAGTTCCGAAGTTCAGCGGCTATGTGCGCGGCCGGGCACAGACGGTGGGAGTTCGCTCCGACCTTCAAGTTCGCAAATGATCGGAACTTGACTGTGAACTGAGGGTTAGTTCTCATCGGGCCGTCAATTCTCTACTCGCCGTATGACCTGTGCTTCTGATTCAACTTGAGTACAGCTTCAGTGTATTGGCGATGATAGATTCAAGCTTCAGTGTGTTAGTGATGATAGATTCAAGCGTGTTAGTGATGATAGGTTGATTCAAGCTTCAGTGTGTTAGTGATGATAGATAAGTTCAAGCGTGTTAGTGATGATAGATTCAAGCTTCAGTGTATTGGCGATGAAAGATGTGCCAGTTCATGTTTTAGCCTTCAATGCCCTTCAGACGCTCGCGCCGGGTCGAGTTTTTATGCTAAGGAACTGTGCCAGGCTCTAACATCAAACGTAAGTCAAAGTAACACGAAAAAAATAAAATTATGTTGCACATGCGCAGTAACGTGCTTTCAATCCCTGCGGTAAAATACTTGATTAAAACACCCAAACATGAATATGGCTGTCCTGTCCTCCCACAGTTACCTCGCCTGCCCCTTCCCTTTCCCCCTCCCCCTCATGTCCCTCTCTCCTCCCTCAGCTTCCTCCTGTCTCACACACTCCCACGTCATTGAGCATGAGCTTTATTCATATGATACACGGAGTGCTGATAACCTACATTCGGTCCCTATATACATCGTTATCTACATCTGTACACGTCGTCGCCTCTAAGGCGGTTGGAGCTGGCCCCGTCGCCTCCTCACAGCTGCATAGCCACCCCGTCCGCTGACTCGATCGTCCGCTTCTGCTGGATCATGAGGATGCTCGCGCGGAGGCAGGCCAGCTGCTTGGCCTTGGAGACGGTGGGAGCGTGTCGGTGCTTGTTACTGGGGGAGATGCTGGTGCAGGAGCTAGGCTGGGATGCAGAGGAGGAGAGGGGAGCGACGATGGTCTCGAGGGCAGGTACTTGCGCCATGGCGTGGTCGGTGGAGGAGGAACGAGAGGGTTGAGTGGAGGGGAGAGAGGGAGCTCTATTTGAGGGCAAAGGGCCACTGGGCCACGAGACCTGGGGGGAGGAGGTAACGTGAGGTCCGCAAGTCAGGTGGCATCCGGGGACAGGGCCTTACAGGAATATATGACAAAGCTTTTACAATCAGCGGTATCGTGACAGACATAGTTGAGGTGCCATGGTGGAAACATGACATTATCGAACCGATGCGTTACGCATAGGTATAGCCCTACCAGCCGAAGCATCTACAACTCTCTTAAGTTCGCTATCTCCCCAAGTCAGGCCTTGCTGACACCTCTTACTACACACCTGGTTTGTCCGTCTCGTGCTCTTTCCCGACATTTGACTGCCAGTACCTCACCTCTTTGGTCGCTTCCCCGACTTCGCTCCTCCAGATCTTGTCGCCTATCTCCACGTTGCTTGTTTGCACTTGGTTGACGCCAGCCCTTGTCAGCTTCATCCGTCAGCTCTTTAGCCTCGCCCTCCCTGCTTCATCCATGACGCAAGCTCTTTCCCTTGACACCGCCTACGCCCCCCACCCTGCCTCCCGCTCCTCCCGCCCACTTCCCTCCCCCGCCAACTCCAGCCAAGCCCGTCCATCCGCCCCCGCCATCCTGGACAAGGCCAGGCAGCTCGTATGTCTTCGCGCCAGCATCCTCATGATCCAGCAGAAGCGCGCTGTCTACACTGCCGACGGCGTACCCATGCAGCTATGACAAGGACGGACAGTCTCGCTGCGTGAGCGGGAGGAAGGTGTAGGCTATGCTGTACGTGTTGGAGGGAGACGGGACGCGATCGAGCATAGCTTGTATACTAGTGACGATGAGAGTAAAGTCAAATGTGTTGTCGCGTGCGCGTGCGAGGATCGCATCTAGACATGCGCTCACAGCTCGTGAGTGTGTAAACAGTCCTTGTACCGTTATGGGTGGAGGCGTGAATCAAGCATGTACCGCATGCATGAGATGGCGAGAGCGAGATATGTCATCACTTTCGTTGGGATCCTTGCTGAGTCGTTGAGCTCGTTTTGTAACTTTCTCAGCTGCTGGTTCCCAGCTCATTATCTGACGGAAGTTATCCGACAATCAATTTCGATATCCGAGGTACACTGAGATGTGCTGCTTTGCACTCATCAAGACATGACTGAGTATACAAACAAGGTAAATTGAGAATCTAAATGCTGCGTCGACCATGAGCCTCCTTTCAACCGGAATCAAGACTAAAAACAACGGCCCTTGACCCTGCAGGTCTCGCCCTACCCCCATTACCTCGCCTGCCCCTTCCCTTTCCCCCTCCCCCTCATGTCCCTCTATCCTCCCTCAGCTTCCTCCTGTCTCACACACTCCCACGTCATTGAGCATGAGCTTTATTCATATGATACACGGAGTGCTGATAACCTACATTCGGTCCCTATATACATCGTTATCTACATCTGTACGCGTCGTCGCCTCTAAGGCGGTTGGAGCTGGCCCCGTCGCCTCCTCACAGCTGCATAGCCACCCCGTCCGCTGACTCGATCGTCCGCTTCTGCTGGATCATGAGGATGCTCGCGCGGAGGCAGGCCAGCTGCTTGGCCTTGGAGACGGTGGGAGCGTGTCGGTGCTTGTTACTGGGGGAGATGCTGGTGCAGGAGCTAGGCTGGGATGCAGAGGAGGAGAGGGGAGCGACGATGGTCTCGAGGGCAGGTACTTGCGCCATGGCGTGGTCGGTGGAGGAGGAACGAGAGGGTTGAGTGGAGGGGAGAGAGGGAGCTCTATTTGAGGGCAAAGGGCGTGAGGTCCGCAAGTCAGGTGGCATCCGGGGACAGGGCCTTACAGGAATATATGACAAAGCTTTTACAATCAGCGGTATCGTGACAGACATAGTTGAGGTGCCATGGTGGAAACATGACATTATCGAACCGATGCGTTACGCATAGGTATAGCCCTACCAGCCGAAGCATCTACAACTCTCTTAAGTTCGCTATCTCCCCAAGTCAGGCCTTGCTGACACCTCTTACTACACACCTGGTTTGTCCGTCTCGTGCTCTTTCCCGACATTTGACTGCCAGTACCTCACCTCTTTGGTCGCTTCCCCGACTTCGCTCCTCCAGATCTTGTCGCCTATCTCCACGTTGCTTGTTTGCACTTGGTTGACGCCAGCCCTTGTCAGCTTCATCCGTCAGCTCTTTAGCCTCGCCCTCCCTGCTTCATCCATGACGCAAGCTCTTTCCCTTGACACCGCCTACGCCCCCCACCCTGCCTCCCGCTCCTCCCGCCCACTTCCCTCCCCCGCCAACTCCAGCCAAGCCCGTCCATCCGCCCCCGCCATCCTGGACAAGGCCAGGCAGCTCGCATGTCTTCGCGCCAGCATCCTCATGATCCAGCAGAAGCGCGCTGTCTACACTGCCGACGGCGTACCCATGCAGCTATGACAAGGACGGACAGTCTCGCTGCGTGAGCGGGAGGAAGGTGTAGGCTATGCTGTACGTGTTGGAGGGAGACGGGACGCGATCGAGCATAGCTTGTATACTAGTGACGATGAGAGTAAAGTCAAATGTGTTGTCGCGTGCGCGTGCGAGGATCGCATCTAGACATGCGCTCACAGCTCGTGAGTGTGTAAACAGTCCTTGTACCGTTATGGGTGGAGGCGTGAATCAAGCATGTAGCGCATGCATGAGATGGCGAGAGCGAGATATGTCATCACTTTCGTTGGGATCCTTGCTGAGTCGTTGAGCTCGTTTTGTAACTTTCTCAGCTGCTGGTTCCCAGCTCATTATCTGACGGAAGTTATCCGACAATCAATTTCGATATCCGAGGTACACTGAGATGTGCTGCTTTGCACTCATCAAGACATGACTGAGTATACAAACAAGGTAAATTGAGAATCTAAATGCTGCGTCGACCATGAGCCTCCTTTCAACCGGAATCAAGACCAAAAACAACGGCCCTTGACCCTGCATGTCTCGCCCTACCCCCATTACCTCGCCTGCCCCTTCCCTCCCCCCTCCCCCTCATGTCCCTCTCTCCTCCCTCAAGCTTCCTCCTGTCTCACACACTCCCACGTCATTGAGCATGAGCTTTATTCATATGATACACGGAGTGCTGATAACCTACATTCGGTCCCTATATACATCGTTTTCTACATCTGTACACGTCGTCGCCTCTAAGGCGGTTGGAGCTGGCCCCGTCGCCTCCTCACAGCTGCATAGCCACCCCGTCCGCTGACTCGATCGTCCGCTTCTGCTGGATCATGAGGATGCTCGCGCGGAGGCAGGCCAGCTGCTTGGCCTTGGAGACGGTGGGAGCGTGTCTGTGCTTGTTACTGGGGGAGATGCTGGTGCAGGAGCTAGGCTGGGATGCAGAGGAGGAGAGGGGAGCGACGATGGTCTCGAGGGCAGGTACTTGCGCCATGGCGTGGTCGGTGGAGGAGGAACGAGAGGGTTGAGTGGAGGGGAGAGAGGGAGCTCTATTTGAGGGCAACGGGCCACGAGACCTGGGGGGGGGAGGTAACGTGAGGTCCGCAAGTCAGGTGGCATCCGGGGACAGGGCCTTACAGGAATATATGACAAAGCTTTTACAATCAGCGGTATCGTGACAGACATAGTTGAGAGTGCCATGGTGGTACCATGACATTATCGAACCGATGCGTTACGCATAGGTATAGCCCTACCAGCCGAAGCATCTACAACTCTCTTAAGTTCGCTTTCTCCCCAGGTCAGGCCTTGCTGACACCTCTTACTACACACCTGGTTTGTCCGTCTCGTGCTCTTTCCCGACATTTGACTGCCAGTACCTCACCTCTTGGGTTGCTCCCCCGACTTCGCTCCTCCAGATCTTGTCGCCTATCTCCACGTTGCTTGTTTGCACTTGGTTGACGCCAGCCCTTGTCAGCTTCATCCGTCAGCTCTTTAGCCTCGCCCTCCCTGCTTCATCCATGACGCAAGCTCTTTCCCTTGACACCGCCTACGCCCCCCACCCTGCCTCCCGCTCCTCCCGCCCACTGCCCTCCCCCGCCAACTCCAGCCAAGCCCGTCCATCCGCCCCCGCCATCCTGGACAAGGCCAGGCAGCTCGCATGTCTTCGCGCAAGCATCCTCATGATCCAGCAGAAGCGCGCTGTCTACACTGCCGATGGTGTACCCATGCAGCTATGACAAGGACGGACAGTCTCGCTGCGTGAGCGGGAGGAAGGTGTAGGCTATGCTGTACGTGTTGGAGGGAGACGGGACGCGATCGAGCATAGCTTGTATACTAGTGACGATGAGAGTAAAGCCAAATGTGCTGTCGCGTGCGCGTGCGAGGATCGCATCTAGACATGCGCTCACAGCTCGTGAGTGTGTAAACAGTCCTTGTACCGTTATGGGTGGAGGCGTGAATCAAGCATGTAGCGCATGCATGAGATGGCGAGAGCGAGACACGCTATTGCCATCGCTGGAGCCTCACACAAATGTCAATTTTTGTTTAATGTGTTGTCTCTAATTTATTCGTTTTACGTTACTGTGAATTATTCTCCAGTTTTTTTAACCTGTTTTCTAGATTGTATCTTACCAAAATCGTATTGGAATGTGATTTGTGCTTATCAGCATGCCAACGCTTGTTGTGATGTCCACAATCCATCCATGCGACAACCAAAGCAATAAACATAAGAATATCGCGATTGTTTTGTCATAGCTGCATGGGTACGCCGTCGGCAGTGTAGACAGCGCGCTTCTGCTGGATCATGAGGATGCTTGCGCGAAGACATGCGAGCTGCCTGGCCTTGTCCAGGATGGCGGGGGCAGATGGACGGGCTGGGCTGGAGTTGAGAGGAGCGATGACAGGCAATGAATTGGAGATTTGAGGATGTGATCGAGAGGAGATGGAAGCGTCGAGTTGCAGAGCTTGAGTCATTGGCACTTCTTCAAACAGCAGTAAGAAGATAAAAGCAAGGATATGAGCAACACACTCAATCGGAACTTGAAGACAGACTGATCCAACAGGTTCGTGGTGGAACGGCAGGGGAACAAGAAGGCTGGCAGAGGTGGATGCTAAAAATGAAGAGGGATCAGGGCATATCACGATCACGATACCTGTAGAGGGTTGAAAGTCAGCAGTCATTGTCAAACACACCGTTTGAAAATTTTGCAAGATCTTGAAAGGGTCAGAGCGTTACCTCCTGTCATCTGCAGGTTACCTTGTGGTAAAAAAGATGAACGTTTTGCAACAGCCTGTAAGGCCCTGTCCCCGGATGCCACCTGACTTTCAGACATCACGTTACCTCTTGCTTGTTTGAACCACCTTGACATGTGACTTCCTGTCCCCGGATGCCACCTGACTTGCGGACGTCACGTTACCTCCCCCCCCCAGGTCTCGTGGCCCGTTGCCCTCAAATAGAGCTCCCTCTCTCCCCTCCACTCAACCCTCTCGTTCCTCCTCCACCGACCACGCCATGGCGCAAGTACCTGCCCTCGAGACCATCGTCGCTCCCCTCTCCTCCTCTGCATCCCAGCCTAGCTCCCGCACCAGCATCTCTCCCAGTAACAAGCACCGACACGCTCCCACCGTCTCCAAGGCCAAGCAGCTGGCCTGCCTCCGCGCGAGCATCCTCATGATCCAGCAGAAGCGGACGATCGAGTCAGCGGACGGGGTGGCTATGCAGCTGTGAGGAGGCGACGGGGCCAGCTCCAACCGCCTTAGAGGCGACGACGTGTACAGATGTAGAAAACGATGTATATAGGGACCGAATGTAGGTTATCAGCACTCCGTGTATCATATGAATAAAGCTCATGCTCAATGAAGGTGTCCCATCACACAAGCATAGAGGAGATCCTGAACAAGTTGACCTCTTCCGAAGAGACCGACAAGCAAGAAAGACCTTCTACAGGTTCAAGTACGGACTCTCTGGCATTAAGGTAGAAAGCTTGCCATCGAGAACAGCTGCCGACCAAGCGACAATGAGCTACAAGGGGAAAGTGAGGACCATAGCACACGAACTAGCAGATTCAATGATCGTCTCACCCTTGCAGCTTGCTTGTGATGTTGTTGGAGCACTTGATGGCCTGCAGGGCTGTCACAACACGACTGTTGCTCGTTCTTATCCCACCAGCTTCCATATCGATCCTGAGAAGTTTCGGGCCGCCGATCCTTTCAAAGACTAGAAGAGGACAGCAAGTCATGTTTCTCCCTTTCCTTTGCACGTGCACCTGATCGAACGCTCGCCAAAGGGATCACTTTATCCTGCCCGCCGGCCAAAAGGAGGATCTGCAGTAGGTGTCATCCTGGTTGTATGTGAGGAGCATGACGGTATGCCGGTGTCTCATTTTCCAAGGAAGACTTGACGGGCTTGTATGTGAAGAGAGAACGAAGAGAGGAGAACGTCGCCGCCCTGCCATCACGTCACAACTGAAGGCCGTGTTTCCACTGACTCTTGCTGACCACAGGCTCAAAGGGTCTCTCAGGTTGTCCTCGTACATCTCCCGATCATGGTGCCAAGCGCAGGCACCAGCTGCCCCGCAGTCGATCCTGTCGAACTGCCGCTCGAAGGAGATGAAGGCGGCGAGTGATAGCTGCGGGTCGAGCTCCATCAGCCTGGGACAGAGAGGAGGCAAACTCGCCTTGGCATCCCCGAACAAGACTTGAAGGATCTCCCCGACTATCCCCTTGACGTACTCAATCTGTGGGCGATGCTTCATCTCGCTCGGCAGCAGCACCCCGTTCACTACCATCCCTACCACCAGCGTGAGGTACAAAAGCAGCATGTCCAGCAGACACCAACCTGTCACCTCCTCGAACACGCTTCCTGCTTGGAACGCGACCTCTCCTCCTATCCCCTTGCCCACCAAGAAAACGGCTCCATCTCTCGTTGTGTTTTTGATCCACGAAGCCGCTTCACCGACGCTGGCGATCATCTCCTGCATCGTGAACTCCCCACGCGTTTCACTTCTCCCGTGCCCGGGCAAGTCGATGCCGTAGACAGCACAGGAGAACCCTTCCTTCTCGCACTGGTTGAAGATGGAGACGGCAGTGACCGCGAAGTTCCCAATGTGTTCAGACACGTCATGCACCAGAAGAAACGACATCCTCGAGTCTCCTGCCGGCTCCATCGCGTTGAGCATGCAGCCTGACGGCATTCGCTCCTGTCGCAAGCCCCCCGAAATTCCGTCTGCAGTCCATCTCCTCCCCTCACCTATCCCCACTCGCTTCACCCAGCCCTCTCGGAAGTCCATGCGCAGGAACGTGCTGATCCAAAACGCAACGGAAACCAGGAGGAAGAGGAGAAGGAGAAAAGAAACGCAGATCTTCATGCTCATCGTCACGGCCGATGCTCGAACCTCTCAGTCGTCACGCTCTCATCAGAAGAATCCTTTCAACGTATCAGACACGCACACCCTTCCCCTTCCTCCTCTCAGCCCCTCTCTGAGGACGAAGTCGCAAACTCCCTCACCAAGTTCCTCCTCCTCTCCAATGGAATGATTATGCTCCCCATCACATCGCCCCTGTCACTTCCACCACAAATGACGCAGCCACCACCACCATCGTAACGATCATCTTCCTCTACGCAAGTATACGACTACTCCTTGTCCTTATCACTCAATTTCCTCGAATTCCTCAACTCTTCTTTCCAATCAGAAACATGTTCTACACCTCCATCTGCGAACATAACAATCTTACCTCTCCCTGTTCCTATCTCCATCCCATCCTCATCTATTATCATGAGATAGTTCTCCTTTCCTCTTCTCTTCCCCTCTATTCCTCCTCTACTCCTCTTCTTCTTTCCCCTCTTCCTGCTATCTTTTCTCCTTCTCCTCTTCTCCCCTCTTCATCCTCCTCTAGCCTCCTCGCCTCCTCGTCTTCCCTCCACTCCACTCTCCTCGCGTCCCCTCCCCTCCTTTTCTCCCTCTTCTCTCATTGTCCTCGTCCCCGTACCCCACCCACCTCCTCAATTG